AAACTGGTGATGGCAAATGCCAATGCAGATTCTACTTTTAATTTTTTTTTTTTATGTATTTTGATTAATTATAATTTAGTTATACAATATATATTATTAACTTAAATTATTTTTCATACTTCATGTTCAAAAGTTTTAGCCTGCGTATATTAATAAAACAACAATATATGTTACATTAATGTTTAGCTTCAGCTTAATGAGGAAGATGATATGGGTATTTCATCGACACAAGATAATAATGGAGCTGCAAGTCCATTAACAGCACGTTCAATGAGATTAGAACGAGTGGCTCAAGCTTTAGCTCACAGTCAAGAAGAACTCCGCAGGTTAGTATAACAATTTGTGAATAGTTAAAAAATAATAATAAATGATATACTAAATTTATAATTTGTTTGTTAAAGACGTGCTGGCATCAATACTGTTCCATCAACATTAAATATGATAAACTATAACTCTTCATCATTAAGGTATGTATTGCAGTAATTTAAATTTACTTATTTGATTAGACATTAAAAATATGGTTTAAATCTGTGTAGTACTAGGCACATTATTTCATATGTATCATATATTGTACATACATTTACAACCCATACTTTATTATTTTATAAGAATTATATATTTTATTTAATGTACAGACACGCAAGCCAAATATAAACACAGTATTTATATTTTGAGGTTAAACCTTTTTATCATAATTTTAATAAATCATTCACGTTAAATCAATTAATGTAATCTTCATTTAATGAATTGATAAATCATTTCCTTGTATATACAATAAAATCATTAAATGTTGGCTGTATATGCCCTCCTTAGTGCTTTTTAGTTATTTGTAGTAGCTGTTGGTTTGGGTTTGTAATATAGGGGTGCCAGTGGGTTTTCTACGCCTCCATCACCGTTGTCCTCTCGTCACAGCAGTCAAGATTCTTTGCATCATGGTCCAACATTGATGGGTCAAACTGGCACTAGTCTATCGAGTATATCAAGTGCATTCAGTGTCTCTCAAATGCAATCACACCATCATACATTACCATCATCTGCATCTGTAGCAGCGCAAAAAAAAAAAGGAATAAAGTCATCTCTTGGCCGATTCTTTAGCAAAAAAGAAAAGGTATATTGTATCTACTTATTGTAATCATATTTATATTTATGAATATATATTTATAGCAGGGAAAAGGTAAAGATGGAATGAGTGGTATGTTAAGTCACATGTCTTCTTCTGATATGTCACTGGCTAGTTCCTATGCTGGAGATGATACGTCCAGTTTATGTAGTGCAAGTTTAGGACAGAAAGGTGATTTTGACAGAAGAAAAAAGAAAAAGTAAGGATTGTTAAATTTACCATCTATTTAATAGTTTATCACTTATTTAATACTTCTATTTTGTAGGCATGAATTACTCGAAGAAGCAATGAAAGCTGGAACTCCATTTGCTTTATGGAATGGACCAACTATTGTGGCTTGGTTAGAATTATGGGTTGGAATGCCAGCATGGTATGTGGCAGCTTGTAGAGCCAATGTTAAGTCTGGAGCTATAATGAGTGCTTTATCGGATACTGAAATACAACGAGAGATTGGAATAAGCAATCCATTACACCGTCTAAAGCTTAGGTTAGCCATTCAGGAGATGGTATCTTTGACAAGCCCATCAGCTCCAGCAAAATCTCTTCGTTCGACTTTAGCTTTCGGTGATATGAATCATGAATGGGTTGGAAACTATTGGTTACCATCATTGGGATTACCACAATATCGATCTACATTTATGGAATGTCTTGTAGATGCTAGAATGCTTGATCATCTGACAAAACGTGATTTTAGATCACAGTTAAAAATGCTGGATGGTTTCCATCGGTAAGCTTAGATAATATTTTTATTAGTATAATGTATTTTTAATTAATCTTACACTGTTATTTAGAACAAGCTTACAATTTGGTATAACATGTTTAAAACGAGTTAATTTTGATCGAAGTCAACTAGAAGATAGACGTCGCATTGCTGAACATGAAACCGTAGATATTTTAGTGTGGTCTAATGAAAGAGTAATTAAATGGATTACTAGTATTGGTTTAAAGGTTTGTATATTGATATTAATTAAAAAACTTAAATATAATGATCGACCATATGTGTATTTGAAATTCAAAATTTAGGAATATGCTAACAATTTAATTGAATCCGGTGTACATGGTGCTATAATTGCGCTTGACAAGAATTTTGATTCTAACACACTTGCCATGGCACTTCAAATACCTCCACAAAACGCACAAGTACGTTGACAATTTAATGGATTAATAATAATTATTATTATTTTTATAAAAAAGTTATGTCACTATTTTATTTTTATTTAAAATGATATATTAATAGGCTCGCCAAGTATTAGACACAGAGTTCAATAAACTATTGACCATATCAACAGAACGGAGATTAGACAGTAGTTGTAGTGATCTTGGAGCCTCCTGATATTACCCATCCGCCTCTCAAGATTAAAATGAGAGGTGCCGACGGTATTGACTGTTTTAACTGTGCCGCATCAGCACTTCTTCAAGTTGTTAAAGCGGCATAGATAGTTATTGCATTTTTAAAAAGCAACATTTTGTTTTTTTTTTTTTTATCCTTTTAGTATTCTAAGTGGCGTTTTTAAGTTCAAAAATAATTTTGAAACAATTGTTTTTTTCTGATTGTTGTTAAGTTAAAAAAAAAAGATTGTTAATGACTCATGGGAAAAATTACCATTTAACTTATTCATTAATTTTTGACCTTTGTTCAAATATTTTTTCTTTAATACGTTTTTTTTTAACGTCTGTTATATGTATAAATTTATTTATAAATTTAAAAAAAATATATATATATCTGAATTAGTTGTCTGTAATAGTTCCCCTAGATGAGAAGGATATAATAATGACCGAATGTGCACAATTTCCATGAGATTACATACCAAAGTATTATTTTAAAAAGTACCATGTGTATACTATTAGTGTTAAGAAATGTTTACATAACCATGTTGTACTAATTAGTGAAATAAATATGTAAAAAATTGTTCTAACAAAACCTTTACATGTAATTGCAATGCACAATGTAAATGTATTTATCTCTTCCTTCGCTGTTTTTATTCAGTTTGTTTTAAAACTGAAATACCTAAAAAATTGTATAAGTTAACAGTTTAAATGTTTTTTTTTTATACATATTATTTTTCTTTTCTTTTTTGTTAGTGGCCAGTGTTGTTCATGTATTTTAAATTATTATCCTATTCTGTTGTAGTAAGTAATATTTTAAATATATAATATTATTGTATATATATTTATTATATATATGTACCTACTATTTATAAAAAATATACATAATATAAATTATAATGGTATACACTGTATGAACTGTTTATAATAAAAAATAAGTTTTTTCAGTATATAATAATTTATTTCTATAGATTCATCAGTTTGTTATTGTATATTGGTACTAAAATTTAGGTTAAATTGTCTTAACTTAATAAAAGTTATTGAATTTTTAACCTAGTATTGTTTATAATTCAACAAATCAGCGTGTTTTCATTGATTATAAAAAACTGACAAATTATTTCCAATTTTTACTATGAGTTGTATTTTATTTTTTAAATGATTTCCATTAGATTCTTAAGTGCTGTTTGTGGTTGTTGAAATTTGGTATGTGCTCAGCATATTTAAATTAACTGAAATAATTATTGTTCAAACATTTATGTTATTTTTAACCAAAATATATATTTCTTTTTTTAATGAAACTGGTATTTCATAGAAGTAACATGAAATGATGTATTATGTTCTATAAACAAACATATACACTAATGAAATAAAGTTGATATTCTAATTAATGTGATAGATATACAATATATAGTTATAAAAATTTTGATTATCTGATAGGTACTAGATTTATTAAGATGGGCTAACTACTTTAACTGAAGACAAAAATAGATAATAAAAAATGTACAATAGGAAAAATTGGTAAACATTTTATTGTTTGGTTGCTGAGTTTTCCAATTTTCATAGGGTATCCAAAATTCTATAATTAATTAACTTTAAAGTAAAATAAAAAAATATAAATATAATAGTTAACTAAATTTAGATAATTACTGATATATGTAAGTTTTAAACTATATCACCTACCATGTAGCCAAGGTCGGTCTAAACAGTATAATTAAAACAAATTTAATATTTATTTGTTATATATATTTCATGGGGGTCTTGAGCACTGCAGCACCTAATAGTTGCTGTGAGTTACCAACTATAATGACTTATAAGCAAGTGTGGTGTCTTTTTAATACAATTAGAAACGAATGTAGAAATAAAATTTATTATTATGAAAACAAATTACACACAATAATAAATGTATTTTCTTTAAAAAATTATAATATATTGTATGAATAAATTATGTAGGTCATTAATATATTTTAAAAAAATTGTAAGATAATTTTTTTTTAAACATGACAAAATAAATCATTCTTATTTACATTAATTTTAAGAATTGTGTAAATCACATAATATATGCTTAACCCTTAAATTTAAAAAACAAAGTGCATGTACTTAATTGTGGTGTTTACGAAAATATAATTTAATTTAAAAACACCTATGGTAATAGGAAATTAAGTACGATGATGTAGAAAGAAAAAATAAAAATAAAATATTTCATGAATCTTAAACAACACAGATTTTTATTAATAATGTAAACCTATCTACATTCATAAGAAAAAATGTGTATTTTAATAATAAGACAATAATAAAACCATAATTTTGTAAAAATATGATTAGATTTGTTTGTTTTATTCTTGCATACCAATAATTAATTAAAATCAATTCAAAAAAATACAATAATTAAAATATAACAATTATTTTTTTCTTCTTTTTTTTCTAACTAAATTAAAAATGAGTGATTTGTGATGTAATGTAAACTAAGCCTCATATTTATAAAAAAAAAATGTGATGATATAGATAAAAAATTGCCATCAATATAAAAAGATACACAAATTATCTATAAAACATATTAATAAGAAATTTATTTTGAATACAGTTTGTTTTGTACCTATATTAAGAATAATATTGAGGAACTTGCATGTGATAGTCAATGACTGGTGTATTAACTTTTAATTTATTATCTGTAATTATCAATTTTTTCCTCATTCTTTTTAGGTAATCAGAATCAGTACTAACTTGAGAGATATTTATTCATCTCCTCATCCACCAATCATCAGATCCTGGTAATTTATCACCTTGATTACCCTGTCCTTTCAAATTTCCAATCACTCCCATTACTGCTTTGTTTACTGCAGCTGCTACCATGTCTGAATTTATATTCTTATCATTTGCATAACTATTATTGACTGATTGATGCCCACTTCCTCGACTATATAGCCGGTCATAATATTCCTGATCATAATCCCAAATGTTATCTTGGCACCAGGCTTGTGGCTGGTTGGGTGATCGGTCTCTTCTCCTATCCTTAACTCTGTCTCTACTATCATAATCATTCCATTTGGGAGCCATTTCCTTTTTTGGTATAGCTTCTGTACATACTACGCTGCAATCTCCAACTTTATGATCTTTACCAATAACTTTTTGAGCTGATAAAGGATCAGTAAACGTCACAAATGCAAAACCTCTATGTGGCCTGGGTAAAAATAAATCTGATATTTCTCCAAATTTGATAAAATAATTTTTTAATGCTTCTTCGTCCACTTCTTCAGACACTTGACCAATAAATACCTTTCGCGGAACTTTATTTACATGTTTATCTTTACTATTTGGTATACGTACATCACACCACCGACCTTCAATGTTGTGTCGTTCAAGCATAACACGGACTTGAGACTTCTTGTGCTTAAACCTGACAAATCCATACCCTTTTGATTTACCATTAAGATCAGTCTTAATTTGAGTATATTCTACTTGACCAAATTTGGTGAAATATTTTTTCAAATCCTCTTCAGTTACCTTCCACGGTAAACCCAGTACAACCAAATCCATATCAGAAACACTGTTATCATCTTCAGCTTTATTATAATCATCAATTTCACTGTGCTTACGTTTTTCTGTAGGTGTATTACGAAAATTACACAAATACATACGATCTAACCAGCCATCTTCAGGAGGGTACAATTTGCCTTCATTGAGACGTACTATGCGTAACCTATTATTAACACGATACTTCAAACCAATAATCCCAGGATATTGTGCTTCTAAAGTAGATAATAGAAGACTGTTGTCGTCTTCTGTTGGCATATCAATGGGATCACTGTTTTCACTTGCTGATACTTGGACATACATGTCTAAGTCAAAAAACAAATAAAATAATTAAAATTTGACGCTTAAAAGTATACAAAATTAATTTTTCAAATAAAATACAATTATATCTATAGTGAATACAGAGAATTTTTTTTTAAATAAGACATATCTCAAAAATATTTAATATAAAACAGAGATATTCTGGTTTCTAATAACTCAACTAAATTTACCAAATCAATAACGAAAAATAGTCCAAATGGTAGTTGTTAATTAGATATTATGTAAGTATTAAGCTAAAAACTTTGATCAAAATATCAAAATGTGTCTTATTAAATAACTGAAAAATTCTCTTTGATAATTTTTATAGTTTTTAAATTATTTAAATATTTTTAATCACTTACCAAAATATGTGTAAATATACTATGATTGTTACAGATCTAAAGCGTAAAAATAATACAGTTAACAAGCAAACAGTGTAATAGTGTATAGTCTGTCAACCAAAATAATAATCTATGGTCAATAAATATTCGTGAAATAGGTATAAAAAAAATATATAAAATGTATGCACAATTATTGAAATATCGAAGATCGATTGTCGGTCGATTTATCTCGTTATTCGTTTGTAGTTGAATCAACGAAATTATAAATTGAAAAACAACAATTATTACAGGTAATGTTATTATTAATAATAGAAAACTAACGAAATACGGAAAGCTTTAGCGGCAGACGTTTTCGTAGGTACGATTTAAAGTTAATTATTATGGTTTTACGTTATCACGAAAGCCGACAGCCATATGCATTACGGCGGCGGCGGTAACAAAATAAGATAACGGTGATATTTTTCGCGTCGTCTAAGCGGCCACATTGACCGTTCCTATTTTCCAGCGGATCGTTTGCATAGATGCATAGAAAAAATATACATTAGCCGTTAGATTTTGTTAATCGACGACGCTAGATGAGTTTAGAATTCAAAATATCAGATTGTATCATAATATTGAATAGTATTGATGACTGACCAGTGATCATAACAGTGCCGCAACTATCGTGGCTAGTGCAGGTGCCAAGAGACGTTCCAGTGTCGGAGTCATTACTCATTGTCGTACCTGTGGGACTACCGATTTAATTTGAAATTAAAATACTATTACGATTTTACCGTGGTATTTAAGTAGCTAGTACTTACTAGAACCAGACTGAACAACGTGAAATTAGCTTACACCTATGCTCATAAAAATAAGTAGGCATTCAAGTACGGCGTTTTGTATAGGCTTTTTGGGTACAAGGCTGTCCGTTTTTCCCGTACCTTAACCATCATAGATATCAAGTGTTAACCTAGGACCTAGGTACCCTAATGGTTTTTAACTTGCCTCTGAATATTTATTAACAGTAGGGATTCCAGATTTATTTATTTTTTAAATATGGGACATTTTAAATTATACATATACCTGTAATTTATATTGGTGTTAATTTTGGGAAGGGGTGAGGAGACTTATGTTAGCAATTAAAATATCACAAAATTAAATATGCGATGTTTGTCATACAAATTTTTTGTAAACATTTGGTAGCTAAAATTAAATATTTTGGCCTTGATGTAACATTTAATTTTCCTCACAGTTACTAAATATATCATAAAACAAAGTTAAACCCAATCATAATCAAATAATATTTATTAATTATCATTTAATTTAAATAAAATGGTTTAGGTAAAAACCTGAATGATGTAAAAAAATTTAATTTTTAAAATAAGGTACATACGAGACAGACTATCCAAAATACGGGACATATAGAATGCCTAATTAACAGTTAATCCAATTTTTAGGCTAATGATTACAGTTGTGATTTGGCGATTAGACACTTGCATTTCAATGACACAAATTAATCACCAAGCAACATATCTATCATTATGATAATACTTATGATATGATTAGAAAAGATAGAATACATTTTATTTTTTTAAAACATAGAGATACCGACTATCTATCCATTTTTAAATTCAAGCAATGCGATTAACCATTATACTAAGACATGAGGCATAAAACATAATGTATGTAATTACATAACATAGTATTAATCGTCTTTATTTATTTATACAAAAAAGACTTGTGGTTAGGTAAAAAGGTAACCTACATAAAACATAAAATAATATTAAAATTTAATAATATAACAACAATATAAACTACATATTTCTGAATAGATATTATATATATTTTACAATTTTGCTATAGGTGTTAATTAGCAGAACTGCAAACTAATATTTTCAAATTTCCTCTTACTAATATTTACTAAAAAATATCAATTACAAAAATAAATAAATATTAAAATATTTTAATAAATTTATGAGATCCTTTTAGGTATAACTACCTATATTGTTTCAATTAAAAAAATAAGAATTATTCACAATAATGTAATATGAAAGATTCCAGTTTAAATAGAGTTGATACATATCATAATGCTTAATTTTATAATCATAAAATACAATAGAAAATATAAACCATTTTTAAAAATATCAAAATTATATGTATTATATTTAATTTTCTAAATTATTTTTGCTGCTTTGATTTTTTTTTGAACACATGTAGGAAAATTTGAAATATATTTTCTTGCACAAGTAGAGCAGAAAAACTTTGAATAAAATATACTGCATTCAGGTTTTATACAAACATCTTTGTCACACATAGAACATACCGATCCTAAGATTAAGAATTGCCTTTTACTGCGTGGAGAAAATGGATCTCTTGCTAAATAATAATCCACTTTTGTTCCCACGTTACGATTAAATGATACATGGTCATTGAAACAATCATATCGTTCTGTCAGATTACAGTTTTTGCAAATAAAAATTGGCCTCTCTTCAACCACTGCTTCTGTTCTAAAATTAAAAAATAAATGTATAATACATTTAGTTTATGAAAAAATTCAAAGTAAAAATATTTTTGTAAAGTTGTAGTAAAAAATATGATTTATATATATTTACAAAAATGTTAACTGATGACAATATTAAACATTAAATAAAAAAGAAAAATTATTGTCTCACTGGATCACTAATAATTTATACTAAAAGTTAAAGTATTCAAATTATAAATTAATAATATAGAAATATGTTAGTAGTGCTACAAATTTTTACTACTTTCTTTCTACATATTTTCATATTTTAACTATAGTAATCTATTACTATTTATAATTAAATGATAAATAATAAACTTGACAATAAAATATTGTATACGTTACACAAATTGATTCAATGTATTAACATTTAAAAATCAATTAAGCAGTAAATAGTATTTTTTAATAGATAATCTTTATACCTACTCAGTATTAACTATTTTTGTTTCTTCAGCTTTATTATCTGGAGTTTCAGTTTCATCAGAATCTTCATCACTTTTACTTCTTTTAATGTTTAGTTTTGTTTCTAGACTTACATTTAAAGGATGCTCTTGTTTAACAGACATTTTGAATTTCTATAAACATAATTAATTATCTTATTCTATATCAACAACAGTAATTTATATTAAAAAACACAGGATTTTTCTTTAAAAATGTAATTACTTATATTTACAAAGAAAAATGTTAGGTATGCTAGAGTTGTTAATAACAGAAAACTTGACAATTGCAGAATTATAATCTATATATGCACAGAATGTATAATTCAAACACTACTATTATAAAAGACTTTATAGCAACATTAATCAATCCTTAACACGATTAAAAATTGGAACTACAGTTCATGAATCACGGGTAAAGAAAAAATTGTGATAACAAAGCGTAGATATATAAACTTACAAAGTATTGTTTTGTGCCTAGTGAGTACTGAATAGTGATTCAACAAGAATTTCCATAGCACTGGTATTCAGTAATCTGTATTTCTATTTTCTGTGGTTAATGTAACATTGTCATAAAAATATAGAATATATTATAAAAACATTGAGTCTTTAGAGTTAATGACGACAGAATTTTAAATCAGCTCTACTGCTGTTTATGCAGAAAATAGAAGTGCAAATTACAATCTGTATTCTGTTCCTAGATTATACTTAAAAACTGCGTTAATGCGTTTATATAGTCGTTTAGAGTTTCGACCATTGAATATTATCATACTATCATAATAGTCATAATCACGGACTATCTTAGTCCGTGGTCATAATACCTATTGTTATTATTATAAATTTCAATATCAAATTCCAATGCTTTAATCACAGAATAGATAAGGTCTATAATCTTATCAATAATCGTAAACCATAATGTAATAATAAGTAGTTATAAATACAAAATACTTAAATACTTAAATATTAATTAATTAATACCGTACGCCGGTAAGATTCCAGAAACTCGGATACGCGATTGCTTTATATGAATTAATTTTTATGATTTTCAGAGTTCACCAACTACTGACTACTGAGTAGTAAGTAGTATTGAGTACTAACTATACTAGAATACTACCCTATTTGCGAAAATGATAAAATGAAAAGCGTAAAGCTGTAGATCAATCACCACCTTTTGACTACAAATTTGGAAAATGATTTCGAAAAATGGTATCGTTAGTGTTTATGGTTTTTTACTGGGCTTGTCAGTCTTATTTGTGTGGTTCTTACTCCAAAATAGCGTCTTGCTAGATACCTATGTGGACCGTACTGTTGTTAACCCATTTCATTTATTTATCGTGTATGCAGCTATTTCTAATGTCCTGGTACGTCTCATCAACAGAGGTATCACCTATAAAGTGAGTGTTGCAGTCACTGTATAGATTTCTGTGTTTTCAGCAATATGTAATTAAAAATATACCTATTCTAACATGTCTTCAAATCTTTCAGGTATGTGCCCAGGCTTTGTTCTTGGGTTTGGCCATGGCTGCGGGATTGTTGATCTCAATCCTAGCACCAGCTTCATGGAAGCCTTTTGGATGGTAATAAATGTCAATTAAAAAATTCAAATGTTACCATTAACCCGTTATGTTCACAGCAAACGCAATTGTATTTATAATGATACATTGTACTCAATTTTAAAATGTTTGCATGCATTTCAAACAACACATTTGAAATAGTAAAGGAATTTACCAAGACATAATTGATTATTATTTAACACTGAGACAAAAACTATAAAATAATGAAATAGAACTGTGAGACACATTAGAAAGGATTACATTAATTTAAAATGTTATTTCTTACTCATCATAAAATTAATTAGACATTCAACTTGATGTTAGTTGTGTATATAATTATTAAAATGCAGAACACATTTTGGAAGTTAATTTTGTGTAACTTGTATTAAACAAATAATTAAGAGAAAACCTTATTCCTATGTATTTTACCTGCTGTATAAATGTTTAATCTATCAAATTTACTTTCAGTATGATCAATCTTAAGTTGTTAGCTTTAATAATAAAATAAAGTAACTTATTAATATATTTTTTATTATTATTGAAAAAGCTTAATTTACAATTTATAAAAAATATGGCATAATAAATAAATAGTATACAAATATAATATGAAGTTGACTTGAATAACTTAGAGAGAGAATTGTTTAGCTACAGTACTTTTATTTTTATTTTTTTATATATATACATATATAAGAGTATTCTTGGACATTTTTTTAGGTCTTCTCAGTGGATTGTTAGGATTGGTGATTGATGACATGTGATAGATTTATTGGGTTTTGGTTTGAGTAGATTTTGGAATGAAATCTCCTCTAATGATGGATTGCTACTTTGTTAACTATTGGAATTTGCAGGTTGATCGTTATGTTATACTCTGTTCCAAATAAGATGACTTATGTGCAAACTACTGAATTATATTTGGTTTGCATCCAAGTAGATCGTTTGCCACTGCTCGCATTGCAAAACCAGTCGTTGCGTCGTGTTGTTTAACAGATGTTTTTGTGTGCAACTCGTTTGCCATGCCCACCTTTCGCGAACGCAATTCATCTTATTTGGAACAGAGTATAGAACATTGTTGGTTATACTCCGATGATTTATCTAAGATATAAGGATTGAGATGTTGGATTGGTCTTATGTTTGAGGGTTTAGTCTATATAACATATATCAAATTTTTCTTTATTAAAATCTAAATTGTTTGGTATAAATATAATAAGCTATGTATAGTTTTTATCTACCATATTATTTGATTTATACAAATATTTTTAACTATCATTATGAGCCAACAATTTTATAATAAAAACTCTCATTATCTATATAATCATTACAAAAACTTGTTAAAATTTAAGTTCTATCATTTTTTTTTTAATTGTCTTATATTTAATAAATAAATCAAAATATTTTATGCTTCTTTTTAATCAAATTTGTTTAATTTCTTTTACATACAGGTACATATGTGTGATGGCCATATTTCATTACTCCGAGTTCCTCAGCATAGCCGTATGTAATCCTAAAACTCTAACGTCTTCATCGTTTATGTTGAATCACAGTATCGCATATGGTATAGCTGCCACAACCAGTTGGCTGGAATATATACTGTGGCATTACTTCTTAAGTGGTAATAAAGCCTTAAGACATTAGAATGTCTTCATAATTTTTGTTATTAATAAGTTTAAAAGTAAGAAGATTTTCTTTTTTTAGTTATCCATATAGCAATAATAGTTTTAAAATTATTGGAAATAAAAAAAATTTATGATTCAGGCTAAAATTTAGCTAATTTAGATATAGATACTATAAGTCTAAACAAATAATAATATTATGTTTTTATTTTCTTAGATATGAAAACAATTCATGAAATTAGTTACTTTGGACTTGTTATGTGCGCTTTTGGTGAAACGTTGAGAAAATGTGCCATATGGACTGCTAGAGATAACTTCACGCATTTAGTGCAACAAGAAAAAGCACAGACACATACACTGGTCACTCATGGTGTGTACTCGTGGTTCAGACATCCTAGTTATGTTGGATGGTTTTACTGGTCCATTGGCACACAGGTAATGTATACAAAAACAATCGTCAATGTTAAAACATGTAGACTAAATAGTTTTATTATACTTTTTAGATCGTCATGATCAATCCTGTTTGCGTGGTAGCGTATGCTTTGGCCAGCTGGAAATTCTTCAAGGATAGAATTTACTACGAAGAAATCACGCTTTTGAATTTCTTTGGAGAAGACTACATTTCATATCAAGAAAAAGTCGGAATTGGCTTACCATTCATCAAGGGATTTGTAGTGATGCGTGACAATGAATAAGAAACAAATGTTAACTGTTATGCAATTCCTATTAAGTGATTGAAAATAAACATCACAAAAACATATTAGACAACCATGTAAAGTTGTTTCAATTTTGTTTCACTTTCACGCATAATAAATTAACCAAGTGCATACAAATATGTATATAATATATTTAAAGTATAAAAATATAAAGTAGTACAAAAGTTTATTGTAAAATTACTTTTGTATAAAATAAGCGATTAAAAATAGCATTTATACTTATATATGTATATATATTTTTCATAACATGTGTTTTGATAATAATAATAATAAAGGTTTAATCTTATTTTATAATTTGATTTTCATTCATATAAAATAAGAGTCAAGTAGAAACAGGAACTTATACAGGTAATAATGAAAAAAAAAAAAAAAATATTAAGAGATTTAAAAATATTGGTCAGGAAATAAATGAAGTCTTACAATATACATATTTGGCAAGTTTTTTATATCCCAAGTTAAATAAAAACATTTAGTTAGTAAATAATAAATAATTCATTTCCCGGAACAAAAAAAAAGTAAAATAAAAAACGTTATTCAAAATATATTTTAAATATTGCGTTGGGATAAGTAGTTTGGCACGTTGTATACTGCTGATCTTACACTAAGATACTACTATTATTTATAGTTGCCATCATATTATCGATAATACCACTGGCCGCTTTGACTATATCCCAATTGGTATTTTCCAAAGCGTTCAAGCACACACTGTGCTTGATATTGACATAGCCCCCGGCCTCCAGAGCTGCTTCCAATTTGGCCAATTTTATCGCGTGGTGTACATCCCAACCAGTAGCTCTTAACTTGTCCAAACATTGTTCGCCGGACACCTGCGATAAGAAAAATAAATATCGCGGAAATCAACAATATGATATCGTTCATTATGTTAAAGCACAAAATTAATACATACTTTGGTCCCAAGAACTTTGATCATTATTCTGACTTCATCGCAGTCCAGGCCCCGGCTATGTTCCGGTCGACTCTCAACATCAGCACCTTTGTCAAACGTTTTTTTCTGTTCACAGTTCTCCTCATCGTCACAGCCAGGTTCATACATTACCGGGAAAGTGTGCATTTGCCGTTCGGCGACCGGTGATTCAACGGCGCCCAAGTGGTCCAGAGCGTCTAATTCTAAGGCGATTCTCTCGTCAAAACTCACTTCAGGAGTACTAAAAAATACAAATTAAAAAAAAAAAACGCGAAAATCAATACAGTTATATCAAACTATTTTCATCTCAGACGTTCTTGTCTGGTTTCCGTGGCTATCATTAAACTAGGTACTTACTTCATTAATTATAGATTTTAGTACTGAGATATCAATTAACCTGATCTAACTTATCGCTAAATTATACTTCCATAACAACTATTAAATACCTACATACACGAGACATCGAGACAACACACACACACACACATACACACATACGCATCTTAAAACAGTTAAGACAAGAAAACATCATGTTGCTTACGTTCTTTTAAAATCTGGATTTCACATTTAATGAGATGAAGACGACGATAGTGACATTAGTAATTTTAGCTATTATCCTAACCTAATCATTTTAATAAATTTAACAGTACTCCAACTAAAACTTCTTTAAATTCAATATCTCAGTTTATTTGTTTAAATCTTATTGCATATAGCCAATTATTCATCCATTTCATCTTCATGTTTTCAAACACTTTTGGAAATAATATTAATCAAATAACTCCAACTTTCTTGTTCAATTCAGTGGTTTGGTATTGAATTTAGAATCCTAATAAGACATAAACCTAAATATTTAGTAGGTAGCAAGTTTCTTGCGCCAAACCTGTTAATAAATTTTCAAGTGACAATTATCAACTAAATACCACAATAAATCTAGATTTCATAACAATATCCACTTACATATATTTTTAATGAAAATATTATTAATTCAAAAACAGAAATTAAAAACCTATTAACAAAAAATGAATAACAACGTAACAGACAAATATACGACATGTAATGTGATTTTACTTCCGGCTGCGAATCGAACAAGGTCTAAAACTTGTGGTAGTAGACAACATTTATACAAATTAACCGTTTGCATAGACACGGAAATCACCGCATCTTTAATGCTGACAATTCATGTTTATAGAAATCACACCAAAAGTGATGAATTGCGTTAAGTTAATTACGAAAAATGGTGGTTCAGACTTAAAATAATTCGATATTTATCAATGGAATTATTATTTTTAATCATATAGAATTTTTTTTTAAATGCACAGATGAAAAATCGGTGAGGAACCTTAGAAGTCTATTGGGTAAGAACTAGCTAAAATTATATTAAGTTTATATAGCAAAAATACATTTTATTGAGTGATAAATATCTAGTTGTTTATAAATTTGATAAAGACTTTGTAAAACATTTAACTAAAAATGAAAAAAATATTTAAAAAAAACTATCACAAAATAATAATTACAATTAAAATAAAACTGAAAAAATTAAAAACTATTATTAATCTAGAAGACGTTACACCACATTGCTAAGTGTAGCCGCAAGTTGAACGAGGTCTCTAGAGATGAATTTTGTAGTATTTAAAATATATACATACGAATTCACATTGATGAATAATAGTATGAACAATATCTTTTTATCAGTTCTAAATGGAAATGAAAACCCAATTAGGTTAGGTAAAAACTTAGCAGTATTCCACAATTATAATTTAAATGTATTCCTACAAATTTTGAAAGTTATAAGAAATATAGTAGATTTAAGTTTTATAACCATTCGACGTTAAATTTTAATAATAAACATAAATTAAACTCAAATGTAAAACAAATTATTATCACTCAAAATTTTGTTCCCTTCATACTTCATTAAAAAACTACCTAATGACATAGGAGCTTGATGAGTTACACAAAATGAGCAAAATAAACAAGAACGATCAAAAATGAGTTATTTTTCTTTTGACAAAAATGAGCAAGTTAAATACGTTTTATAAGATTAAAATAATCTAAATATTAAAAGACAAGAAACAATTTTAAGACTATACTAAATTTGAAAAATTTAATTGCAATCTTTTTAACGATTACGAAATAATAAATAATAAAATAAATTGCGAGTTTACGAGTAAATTTCGATAAAAGTGTAAACACTTACATCTGATCTTGGAAATGATTTCTTTCTACAACATCATTTTTGTTTTCCAAATCTGAAACCATCGTCGTGCAAGCTCCTAGACATGTCGAACCACCACTGCTGGAGTTTGGCATGACCAATGGATACTTCCTCTGGTGTCTTGGTTTCAACGCCGTCATTTGCTGTACGGCTCTCGGATCTTTAGGTGGTAACGGTATGATGTTACAGTCTATAAATTAAAATGAATAACGTATGAGGTAGAAGAATAATCTGAAATATAAAAATATCATCAAGACTCACTTGAATCATTTTCGATATCTTCTGATGGTACGGTGTTGCCAGACTGCAAAGTTCTGTATAATACAATTATATATTACAATATATTTCCGCTAATAAATAGTAATAATTAATAATAAACATAAACAGTCCAATTTCAGTTAATAGCAATAAACATTTCCAAGGCGTAGAGAAGCGACAACTCTTATAACCCGTTGGGATAAAGAAAAAACTCCCTTGAACCAAATTATTTAGTGCCTATAAAATCAAGCACAAATAATCTATCCAGATATGTAAAACGCGTACCCAAAAACTATTTTCCCTACTTCTAGATATCTAAAACTATAGTTTATAATATTCTCCTCCTTAACCTCACTCGAAATCTTCATTCATGTACTTGTATCGAATATATTTAAATGTTTTTTGAGTTATAGTAGATAAGATTTTGTAAAAAAAAAAACAAATTGGAGCCAGATTGATCTCGTTCAACGACCGAATTCTCCATGTCTCTACGTAGATTTATGGAGCTAATATTATTATATAACTATGAAAAATTGATTATATTTACCCATTGTCATTCTTGTTTAGCCTGAATTTCGGTTTAGCCACTGGAGTTATGGATTTTTTTAGTATTTTCAACGAGTTTGTAACGCCACCGTCTATTGCGGTAGTAGGTTTTTCGATAAGACCATTATATGCTTGTTTAGCTTCTTCGGTTAAACATCCCTATGCAAGCATGAGTGTAGGAAACCAGGAAGATGATAGAAGGATAAATAGGAAGCAAAAAAATAAACAAATAAATAAAAACAAAAAAATAAAACTAAAAACTGAAAAACGGCGTTAAAAAAAATATATAATTTACAAAAAAAACTATTTTACTAACTAAAATATATTTAATGTGTATAAAACTATAAAATAATTCTGAGCATTAAATAAATAACTATAATAATAGTTATTGATAAACAAGCCAACAGCAAAATTACAGTTTCTAATTATAAAAAGTTTCATTTTATAAAGCTACTAAATAATATTATATATTTATAAACATTGTTAAAATTACAAATCACATGTTATCTTTATAAATTAGGTTGAGATTTGTACTACTAATAATTTTAAAAGTTACGATTACAAAGAATATATTTTGTTTTAACCTTTTAGTGCTAGTTTTTTTTTACATGCGTGCATGTGCATATGAATAAAATTGAGCATTTATTTTTCATGCATCAGTAAAATTAAACAAAATATTTTAATATGCATTATTTCTCAATTCGATATTTCATCAGAGCAGTAAATAAATTATATCACCTACAAATTAGTAATAATTACGCCTTAAAGTATATTGTGTTAACAGTTAATGTCAGTTTAATACGTCCAAAACAAACTTTTAATAGAAAATTATTAAAATCACCAAATCTGTTTTGTATTTTCACGTTGTTTTATTTTTAATGTTTAATAATTGTTTTACAAGCAATTACTTAATTTTTATTGTATCTTTCTTAATGTAAAAAAAAAATTTAGATCATAAACTAAAAATGTATTAGTTTCGATTAAAATTTATAATATAAAAGACACAATATTATCTATGACTTTTAAATAAAAGTAACAAGCTAGAAATTTTGTTCTAAAACATTTAAATTTCACTTTACAAGTAGGTATAGCATTTCTGGTAAAATACATAACATTATAACTGCACCATCTGTGTATAATATCGTCAGTATCTATAAGCATCATATTATTATACAAACAAAGTGTGTGTTTGAGCCCATGTGTGTATATTTCGTTAAACAATTTCAGAATTATTTTCCAGAAAAAGGCGCAGCAACAAATGCTACATAGCAGAGAAATAACTATGATCATTATTAACAGGTCTAACGATATATGTATCAAAATATTATGATTTACAGCTGGTTTAGTATTAAACTATATACAGCGAATGCAGTTTTAAACACATGAAAACCTATTATTTTGTTTACTACATAACTATCAAAAATATAAAAACACAAAAAGTAAAGGTAAAAATTTGTTGTTTTTATTTTAATTTTTGTGAAATATTGGATGTATGTCGTGTATATAATATACACACTAGTATTTAATTAAAGAAAAATAAATTGAAATAATAAGGGAAAAATTTTTTTAACAGAAAAATCATAATTTATTAGTGTTATTACTTATTGAAGTAAAACAATAATATCAAGATAATATCACTAAAAATCAACTACTTGCACTGAAACTATACTACTATTTGTTATTAGGTACTATTAATATACAACATCTACTATTAACTAACTTACTACAAAATATTATAAACAATTACAAATACTACTACTCAGAGTTCAGCAGTCTCGTCATCGATCAAACAGACATTTACAGGAACTTTGTTTAAGACATCATTGGAAATATATAATATGCTACTCTCGGAATCCGACAAACTTCGTCTCAGTTTATCACATTTTTTGCTATTGGGGAGCGTATTTGCTCGAAACGTCTCGGCGTTATTTGTTTTATTTCTTAGTTTAGGTGAACTGGGGCATGAATACTGTTCGCCAACTAACGTTTCTGTAGAATCGACATTGGATCGTTCAATAGTCTTCAATGAATTACAAGAAATGTAATCAAGTGAACCTATACTGGGAGAGGCCTTGGTTAATAACTCTCTAGACCGCGCAAAATAGAATTCTGTGGACGCCTTATCCCACAAAGGCAAACGAAATGGTGCGGTGTCCAATAAAGATTCGGCGCTGATAAATGACGAAAATGAATGCAAACTACTACAAGACTACAAGCGATGAATATAAACGTATCGGAAGGAATAAAACGGGGGAAATATATTTTATTTATATATTAGTATTGTAACCGCAGTTAGGAGCACATATACAAATAGTTCCTATTAATTTCTTACCTGAATGTCCGGAATGGAAGCAGCTTCGTCAGTGAACGTCTTTGCTTCGTGTTTTTGAGTTTTCGTAAGAGATCCAATTGGAGGTGGAAATTTGAACATAAATTTACGTTTATTTGGCGATGACGGAGATTCAGGTATCTGGTGATTTGGTTGTTCTATATCAGATCCCATAGAGCGACTGGCCATTTCATTAGCCATTGCAATAGCAGAATCAAGACTCTTTTCGTCAGAAGCAGATATTGGTTTGACCTTAAGTAATATTTGTATATTATAGCATATTACAAAACTTTGATTATTCTTTTAGTAAAGAGTGAATATATCTTAAAATTTTAGTCTTTAAATTATTTTATCTTGCATTTTACCGTAGCTTGTTTCTTTTTTGACTTTGAATTTACAGCAGCAGCAATAGTAGCGGCAATTTCTCGTAATTCATTTCTGTGATTTGTATCCAAAGGATCAAGTGGAGACCTTGGTGGAGATACAGCATAGTTACTAACTCCATTAGTACTTATAGTTCTAAACATAGTTTCCATTTCTTCAACAAGACTTGGCCCGAAGTCAAAAGTTTTCTAAAATAATAACTACTGATGAAAAATTTGAACTTTTTTTGTACAAATAATTAATTATTTAAATCTTAGGAAACTGAAATCGTTAATATTACACATCATAACATACTTTTATCTTTTATAACAAAATAAATAATATTCATAGAGTTAAACTTAACATTTTTTTCAAAATACTTACTTCAAACCTAGGACTTTCAGCAACAGTATCTTCATCACTAATTTCATGGTATTCATGGTCAGTTAAAATTTTTGACAACTTATTTTTATCTAACCAGGTTGTTAAGTCCACTACTAATTATAATAAAAATAATAATTATTATATTGCAATTACTACAATCATAAGTGAATACCATTTTTTTTGCTTTCTGGTTTATCACCATAAAGTAAAGGAGCACGATCCGAACAAGCCTTAATTGAAGTTGGTGAATCACTAACACTAGCACAGTCTTCTTGTGGTTTATATGGAGCAACAACTTGATGTGGTAAATGATTATACTAAATAAGATATGAAATAATACATGAATAATTTTAAATTACAAAAAGAAATATTATTTTTATAGTATTAACTATTAATTACTTTTGGCGCATTTGTACTCATGAATTCAATATCTCCAAAATATGCACCATCTAGACCTACATGTCCCATATGTTTAACATCACCTTGAGGACAAGATATCATATCGATCCTTAGACGACTTCGTCGGGATGTATACTTTGAGTCTGTAATATAATTTAAATGCATATGAATAAATAGTAAATACCTATGTAAACTTATAATTTATTAGTTACCATTTCTAGTGAATTCAGAGTTTCTGTTAGATGGTAAATTTGAACCTAAATAAGCCACAGTATTAGAAGGATTGAAAAAACCAGTTTTTCCATTGCACAATACACCTTTCCATAAGGTGGGAACACCAGGCCTACATAATAAAAAAATCATATTATTGATAAATCATTTTTATTGATTATTTATTTAAATTTATAATATATTTACGATTTATCGAGTACTGTTATAACTTCTCCAATAGTGTATTGCAGCATATCTCTTTTTTTATCTTCAAAATTAATAACAGTTTGCACTTGCTCAGGTTTACACTAATGTTATAAACATTACATAAATATTACTGGTGATCAAAAATAACGTCTAGCACCAACCACTAATAGTACTTACATCAAGTAAAATTAATACCAAATCAGAAAATTTAGGTCTTTTAGCAGTATCATGTTGCCAACATTTGGTCATAACATTGAAATATTCTTTTGGGCAGCAATCAGGCTGCTCTAATCTCTGAATTATAAAAATGTATAATATCACAAATTAAAAATATCAAGTTTTTAAAGCTAAAACTACCTGAAAATTGGGTTCATCAATAGCCTCAAGTATCTGTTGTCCTGTGAGTGCTGCCCAAGGCTGAAAACCATAACTGAACATTTCCCATAAAGTAACACCATATGCCCATACATCAGAAGATGAAGTAAAACGTAAATAACTTATACACTCAGGTGCACACCTACATCAAACATAAGCATAAAATGTGCTTAAGAACTAATTCAAATACTGTACATTGGTCATAAACAATTCAAAATATTTTTACCAGGCAATTGGTAATTTTAAATTCACATTAAAATTTGTTTGATAATAGTCTTTACCAGCACCAAGTGCCCGTGATAATCCAAAATCTGATATTTTCACCTTGTTCTTTGTAAACACTAATATGTTTCTAGCAGCTAAATCTCTAAAAAAGTAAAAAAAAAATAATATTTGATTGAAAAATCCAACGTTAGAATAAAATACCTGTGTATTAATCTTTTGGTTTCCAAATAATGCATTCCATTACATATTTGTACAGCAAAATCACATAATGACATTACTGGAAAACTTGCACGGAGTGACGGTTCTTTTAAACATTCCAAAAGAGATCTTAAAGGTGCTAACTCTGTTACCTAAAAATTAAATCACATAGTTTTAATAATAATTAGATACTTAATTCTTAAACAGTTTATAAAAACAAAAGTCAGTCATTACTAGCATTAAGGCATCAGTATCCAAAACTACTCCGTACAATCGTACAATATGTTCATTATCAATGCTGTGCATAATGGCTGCTTCTTTTAAAAACTCTACAGGATTATTTTGCATACGTTCTCGGCTCAGACATTTTATGGCAACTTGAATCTAATAAAAAAAATGTTCATAATGAATAACTATGAAAAAAAAAAATATCATTTATTTAAAACTAACCCTGTCTCCTTCATTAGTCCAAACACCTTGCTGGACTACACCAAATTCACCTACACCTAACTCCTTGTTAATAGTTATGGAATCAGCTGGAATAATATGTTTGTTGGGAACACGAGCTGGTGCACGTTTTTCATAAATAGGCTTCAGTGTATCTTGCGAACCAGAACTATCACTCCACTGTTCTTTATTATCTTTTGAAGAAATTAACTAAAAATTTGATATACATATTAATATGTATAATATAATGACAAAACAAAATTATAGTAAATGTTTACTTTTTTAAACTTTGAAAAATAATTTTGTGGATAATGCTTTTGGAAATACTTTTTCAAGCGTCTGATCTCTGGCTTTGTCATGCCTATCTGATACAGGTCATTCTCGGTAACAAACTTCACTTGAGGAACATTTGTTACCTAAAAACAAATGACTATTAATAAAAATGTTCAACTAGTACTACAATTAAGTAGTAGTTTGTCAAAACTTGCCTTCAAATCGTTCTTGATCTCTGAATAGTACTGATGAAGTTCTGCTTCCAGCAGGAACTCATATAGATCAATGACTTTTGACATTGTACCTGCCACTATTGAATCCAAAACACCTAAATCAAGTTAATTAAACACTTATTTTAGAAAATTATACTAAGTACACATAAGTAACAAGTATTTTTGTAGCAATTAAACATGGATGGCTATTTTTATTTTATATCAATAGTTTCCTAGAGGCATCAAGTAACAAAAATAAGGCAGGTATTTTAATTGAAAATATTAAAAATTTTTAAGGTCCTGAATGAAGGGGTTAATAAATTAGTAAATGTAATACATACATATTATAAAAAATAATATATACCTATCATATATAGTCTACAATATTAAGTATTCAATAGATGATGGTATTTAACATACTTTTAATTCCAACGTTTGAAGCAACTTTTTTTTTACATTTGCATCACCTTATATTTTAGCTAAGCCTTCTATTTAATTTTCTATACTCCTAAGTACCTACCCAAATGTGAATTTCTGAAGAAATCGTACAATATGGTGCAAAGAAGACGTCAATAAACTGATAATCAGCTGGAAGGGTAGGTGTTACGACGATCTATTCATTGTACGGCAGAGTCTGGATCCGATGAGATATTCGTAATATTATTGAAAAATTATCCGGTAATTATGTCTCTAGAATAATCATTTTTCATTGAAAACTTAACGTCAGTCAGTCATTTTCCGATTGCTGCAGACTTCTCCAGTCTTAAACTTATTAATAAACTCTTAAAATTGTGTAAAAAAAAATATTATAAATACCCAAATTGAACAATGCACAATTAACTAATGTATATATTTTATAAAAACATCTAACAACTACACGCTCCTATCGACTACGACTGAAGTAACCAGTAGTGCACACTATTGCACTAGCCACTAATGACTACAGACTACTGGACTCTAAATACTAAAGCAATCGGCAGTCAGCAGTAAGATTCAATGTTTTGTGTTTACTACTTGAATTAGTACCATCGAGGCACGGCGCTCGGAGTCGGCGCATTCGACAATCATTTCTACTACAATAATAATAATAATAATAATAACAATAATAATTGTAAGAAAAAAAAACAAAAACTTATCAGAAGTAATACCAACACAACTGCGCTTCAATTCTGATGACATTAGCTGATAATATAATAAAATAAAATAGACGTACGTCGTTCATTTCAAGTCCCTTAAAATATAAGGGGCTTTAGTTAGGCAATTCTAACGTAAGTCTCTAGGTGAAAAAATAAATTAACAAAGTTTTGAATTTAATTCACAAAGCATGTCGACAATTTATTTGTTGATTCATTCATTTTAGTGATTGGGAAATTATTCGTTAGCTATTAAACTGTGGATATAAGATGAAACATAACTTGCTGTAAGTAACCTTAAACCTACTCGTAGAACGGTAGTATTTAGCATAATAGTTAATAACGACTAAAAAGTTCCTAGAAATTGAGAAATATGTATAATCTATTTATAATATATAATTGAGATCTATAAAAGAAGAAACTGACATACCAACTTATAGTTTAATTTGCTAGGTTAAATTCTGAAATTTTGCACGAAGCATTAAAAGTTACAAGTTCACAGAAAACGTTTTTGAAAATTCAACAAAATTGAATATAAATGTCGAGGTTAATTTGAAAAATAAATTAATATATATATTATATGTGTTACGGGCGGTGTTAACAATTTTGGCATAAGTATATTAGTATATAAAATAATCTTAAATTCTTAAATTCCATACGTTTGCGTTACCTCTTTATGTATATTAGTAATATTATCATAGAATGCGCAATAATATTATCAAATAATAATTAGTTTGAACTTTAAACCCTATCCATAAGTGTTTACCAGGCATAGTAAACATTAGAGACGCGTTGAAGTGACTCCAATTGATATTTAATCAGTCATCAGATAACAAAAGCTGAGTGATCCTGAGAAATATAACGTTTGCTGTTATTTCAATTAAGGATGAAAAGTTCTACATACTATGGGTATTGAATATATTACTTTGCAAAACTATAACCAGTTTGATGATTGTCCTTTACCGTTAAAATATAGTTTTAAATTAGATGTTAAACGGTTCCAAATTGTTGAGAAAAATTACAAAATGTATTTTTGTATAATGTAAAGAAAAGTCTCTTAATAATAACTCAAGTATACCAAGGTTTTGTGCAATTTAAATTACTATAGAAGCGTAAAAATAAATGTTTCTTTATTTATATTTTCTTTACTTGAATAGGTAATATTGTACTAAGTTTTATTATTAGTTATTACAATAAGTATTAAGTAAAATATATTTAATAAAATACAATTAATGATATTGTCAAGTAATTGTGATGTTTCTATCAGACTTATAACATTTCATTACACAACCATAGATTTCGACTATGATAAATTATTATTTCGTTAAAATCATTAATCAATATGATTAAATGATATTGAATAAACTGTATTACGTATGCTGTAAATGTGCTTCATCGAGTGAGGGATCAACGATCGTATCAAGTCACAACCCTAAAATCCCTCATTTCTTTGGTAATAATTTTATAATTGTTATAAATTTTGATGTAATAAAATATAATTTAATATATATTGAAATGCATACATATATTACATATTATACATAAATGTATATGATGTGATGTATAATTTTACCGTATGAAAACGCATTATGCTTATAATTAGATATTAAAAATGTTATTAAAAAATGTACTTAAATTACAGAAAATATCTGCACTATAAATATATAAGTTAAAATGGACTTATATTTTATAATCGGTAACAAAATGATCAGACAATTAAAAATTTAAAAATTTAATTATTTCTTTACATAATAAATGTATTAATTTATTAGTATATTATACGTACTATTATTATTTTCTACATGTTGATATAGTTTTCATTATTATGTCTGTACACAAAAAAAATCACTGTTAATATTATCTTTATGCAATTAAAATGCGTTGAAATTTATTTTCAAGAATTCATAATATTATATTAATTATCTATATACGTGTTTTACGCTATTAAATGTATTCTAATAAGTATTTGATGAGATTTTAAATTATTATTATTCATTAATTCATTATAAATTTATACCACAAGCCTCATACTATAAAATCATAATAAATGACATTTTTTTATCTGTGAACTATGTGTATTATCTTTTTAAAATAAATAAATACCTAATAGCATTGATAATAGAATATAATTTATTTTATAAACTATAATCGATGTTAATAGTAATAATAATTATCAAATTAAGTTACATTCTTCAAGCAAAAAATAAATGATATGAATACTACGCTATTGCCTATTGATGATGAATTGGTTATTATAATAAACTAAAGACCATTTTTTCTAAATATTTATTTCTAATGAATTATTAAATTATAAAAATCATTTATTTTTTATATGATAAAATTTATTGGTAATTATGTCTTAGTCATTTAAATTATGATATAGTTCAATTACTTTAATTTGATAATATTGAATACTTATTATATTTTATTAAATTATATAAATTAAATATTATTTGTAAAAGATATATAAAATATTGAAATTAAAAATAATACATTCAAAAATAAAATATTGCTTGAATTATTAAATAATAAAAAAAACGAAATAGGATTAGTAGGAGTAGGATGACAAGTACAATAAAGATTTAAAACCAAATATTTTAAGGTAAAAACTACTCCTAACTTCTTTTTTTTTAGTTTTTTTTCTGTAAATTTCGATAAAAAATTATTCACTGGGTTACAATTCTTAAAAATGTAATTTAAAATCTCTTATGAGTTATTCTTATATCAATATACCTGTACAATGATAAGTAGTTTATTCTGAAACCATAAAAACTAAAAAATATGTATACATAATTATTTTTTATAGATATTTAACATCAAATTTGAACAAAATTACTTTTTTAAATGATAATTAACAATGTTAATTATTTTATTATAATAACATTATTCTTTTTTTTTCATTCTTTCTACGTATATTATTTTATGATAAATTTTATTATACACAATAAAATTTTTAATTTATTATAAGCTGTTAGGTATCTATTTATTATATAAATCTATTTTAACTGTTTTACAGTATTTACAGAATTTTTAATTTTGATCTCTTAAAAGTACAAATTTTATCTAATTTTCTAATCAAAACCACCCTCAAAGTTAAAAATAAAATCATTTTTTCGACTAATTATCAAGCAAATATACACAAAAAAACAATATACATCTAAAAATACTCAAAATTAGTTCACTCGAATTTTGTTAACACAAAATCGTCGTAACCTTGATTATCGTTGTTTTTGACCAATATTTCTATTGATTATAGAATGTATTTTTAAAAGCATCATACATAAATATAAATATTTAAATATTAACCCTCCTCCAGTAAAATATTCTTAAAATGTTCTTATATCTCTTACTTTCCACCTCTTTAAATTCTTATTTAAATTTTAAACTTTATAATAATTCGAGTTTAATAATTATTGAAGTATTCCTTAAAAACTCAAAGTTATAATTTTATTGATATCAGTCATGTATTGATTTTTCTCATATTTATCCTACCTATATAAAACTAATAACTATTATCAGAAACAAATTCAATTTTATTATTATATTTTAGTAGCAGTAACAAGTAATGTGCATTATTCATTCGAATTATCTAATGAAGAGAAACAAAACCTTATTGAACATTCCCACGTCTGCGCAAAAATATAGATAGATTATTGTGAATTTAGACAAAACCCGACATTAGGTAAGTGATGAACTTTTTTGTTATACATGCTGCAATCAATAACATAATTCATCAAATTCTAAAAATTAAACAAATCTTTATATAAATGTCGTCATTGGGTAGCTTCTTTTTTTCCCGCGTCTCACGTCAAAAATAAATATAATTATATAGCCGCATGCATACTTATTGTAAATTAAATATTACAGATGGTTTATTTTAAAATAAAGTTAAAAAATATATTAACGGATTAGACCATATTTAGACTCTTTGCTGTCAATACCAATTATTTCTTCCACCCTTCTCTATTATACACATGGTACAAGTCCTCGTAGCAATCTGATCTCAATTTCTCTGTCTTTTTTTACTTTAACAAACCATCATTGTGCTCGGTATTTTTCTATTTATGTTCATCATTGTTCACAATCGACACAACTCACAAGTACTTAATTATGCTATTGTTGGCTCTCTAAACACAACTTGCCACTCCAAACTTGCGTCTTTTATAAATTGAACTATATATTTCTTTTTCCATATAATTATTTCAATTGTTCATTTAAACTTTTCTCCCAAATTTGAGTGTCAGGGTTAAGGATGGTTAGATTAGTAAAATAAAATGTATTAATAATAAATTAATAATAATTAATGATTTAAAATTAATTAGTAAATAATATTATTTTAAACAAGTATTATAATAAAAATATTTACTTGATAACTTTTATTTTAAATAAAAACATATATTTTAATTAGACTGCGCAACGGAGAAATGCTCTACAAAAGGGTTCATTTAGTGAGGAGGAGGTGTCGGATTAGAAGGAGGTTTCAGAAGCGAAGTTTTTTCTTTTAGTGAGTGACATTGGATTGGTGCAATGGAGCGATCTCGTAACATTTTTGAGTATTGAGTGTTGATTAAATCACAATAGTTGCTATTCAAAACCATTTGCCACTAAATTCACGAATACGATTTACCATATATTATTATAGTTCTTCATTAATTTATACCACCTTTAACCGTATAATTAACAAATTTAACTACAATAGCCATGATAATTTCGGAAGTATCGGTAATCTGGTACATTTTTATCAAATGTAGCTAGAACTATATACATTTTTAGATTATCGCTTTAATAATTCAATGTAATTAAATATTCCGATGATATAGGGTATAGTTGGAATTTTAACAAAAATTATTAACTTATCGTTGATAATAATTTTATCTACTCACAAAATTCAATAAAAGTACAACGAAAATAAATTAATTTTA